GTAACTTGAGACCATTGCTCCTTGTTCCGTCATCTGTCACTACTGTGAGCAGCATCTCTCCATTCTCCTTGGAACCCCCTTCAGGAAGTTGCAGGCTGCTCTCAAATCCCCCCTCACTCTTCTCTTCTGCAGACTAAAGAAAAAAAATCCCTCCGTCTCTCCTCATAGGTCATGGTGCTCCATCCCCCTAATCATTTAGTCACCCTCTGCTGGACCCTCTCCAATGTGTCCACATCCTTTCTATAGAGGGGGACCCAAAACTAGACTCAATACTCCAGATGTGGCCTCACCCGAGCCGAATAAAGGGGAATCATCACTTCTCTAGATCTGCTGGCAATGCTCCTTCTAATGCAACCTAATATGCCATTAGCCTTCTTGGCTACAAGGGCACACTGTTGACTCATCTCCAGCTTCTCATCCACTGGTATCCCCAGGTCCTTTTCTGCAGAACTGCTACTTAGCCAGTCAGTCCCCAGCCTGTACCAATGCTTGGGATTCTTCCGTCTGAAGTGCAGGACTCTGCACTTGTCCTTGTTGAAGCTCATCAGATTTCATTTGGCCCAGTCCTCTAATTTGTCTGTGTCACTCTGGACCCTCTCCCTGCCTTCCAGCATCTCTACCTCTCCCCTTAGTTTAGTGTCATCTGCAGACTTGCTGAGGGTGCAATCCATCCCTTTATCCAGGTCATTAATAAAGATGTTGAACAAAACCGGTCCTAGAACCGAACCTTGGGGCACACCACTAGAAACCGACCGCCAACCTGACATTGAGCCGTCGATCACTACCCGCTGGGCCCGGCCTTCTAGCCATCTTTCTATCTATTTTACAGTCCATTTATCCAATCCCTAATCCCTTAACTTGCTGGCACGAATATTGCTGGAGACCGTATCAAAAGTTTTGCTAAAGTCAAGGTATATCACATCCACTGACTTCCCCACGTCCACAGAGTCAGTTACCTCATCATAGAAGCTAATCAGATTGGTCAGGCACAACTTGCCCTTGGTGAATCCATGTTGACTATTCCTGATCACTTCCACCTCTTCCAAGTGCTTCAAAATGGATTCCTTGAGGATCCCCTCCATGATTTTTCTGGGGACTGAGGTAAGGCTGACTGGTCTCTAGTTCCCTGGATCGTCCTTCTTCCCTTTTTTAAAGATGGGCACTACATTTGCCTTTTTCCAATCATCCGGGATCTCTCCCGATCTCCACGAGTTTTCAAAGATAAGGTCCAAAGGCTCTGCAATGATATTTCCCAACTCCATCAGTACCCTCGGATGCACTGAATCTGGGCCCATGGATCTGTGTATGTTTAGCTTTTCTAAATAGTTCCTAACTTGTTCTTTCCCCACCTCCTTCCCATTTTGTGTTGTCTAGTGCATTGGTCTGGAAGCTGACCTTGTCTGTGAATACAGAGGCAAAGAAAGCATTGAGCACTTCAGCTTTTCCCACATCATCTGTCACTAGGTTACCTCCTTCATCCAGTAAGGGCCCCACACCCTCTCTGATCACCCTCTTATTGCTAGCATGCCCATAGAAACCTTTCTTGTTCCCCTTCACATCCCTTGCCAGCTGCAATTTCGATTGTGCTTTCACCTTCCTGATAACTCCCCTGCCTTCTCGAGCAATATATTTATATTCCTCTCTTGTCATCTGCCCAAGTTCCTATTTCTTGTAAGCTTCCTTTTTGTGTTTAAGCTCACCAAGGATGTCCCCGGAAAGCCAATCAGGTCACCTACCACATTTGCTTTTTTTACTGCGCATTGGGATGGTTTCTTCCTATGCCTTTAATAAGGCTTCTTTAAAATACTGCCAGCTCTCCTAGGCTCCTTTCCCCTTCATGTAACCATCCCAGGGAATCCTGCCCATCAGTTCTCTGAGGGAGTCACACTCCACTCTTCTGACATCCAGGGTGTGTATTTTGTTACTGTCCTTTCTTCCTTTGATTAGAATCCTGAAATCTACCATTTCATGTTCATTGCTTCCCAGGTTATCACCCACATCTACTTCCCCTACTCGTTCCTCTCTGTTTGTGAGCAGTAGTTCAAGCTGCGCACGGCCCCTGGTCAGTTCCTTCAGCACTTGTCCCAAGAAGTTATCCCCAACATTCTCCAAAAACTTCCTAGATTGTCCGTGTACTTTCTGCAGCAGGGAGGAAGAACGACCAGCCCTTTTCTCCACTCTAAAACAAGGGTTTCCAAGAATTCTGGAGCTACATCCCAGCCAAAAAGAAGTTTCCTTAGAGCCAGAATCAATACATGTGCCATACCCCAGTTCCAGACTGGCCGTAACTGACCGGTGCTCATGCCCACTAGGGGCAAAGGAACCCAACCTAGATGATCAACACACTGATGTGACCATACTGGGGAGTCAAGGGGGAGACTGAGTGGGTGTTGCAGACCAAGGGACCACCAAGAGGGTGTTAATCAGGACCTAGCTCACTCAGAGAGTCTATGGCTCGAGCCAGAGAGATGGCTAGTGATTTGTGAGGCCTCACATCTTGGCTACTGTGGCAAGGCTCTCCCTCTCCCTGACCAGCATTTGGGTCGGCAGCCTTCCCCTTTGCCAGGGTTGGGCTTGCAGCTACTTTTGGGGGTAGAGAGTCTGTCCGCTCCTTCTGGGATCCCCTCCCCTGCTGTTTCTAGCTCTGTAAGTGCTGGGACTTTGTCTCACACTCTTGCTCTCTGTCTCTCCTTCTCTCCTCTCCCTTCCCTTCCATCCTCTCCCCCACACGCCTCCTTCTAACTGGGGAAGCATTTTAAAGGCCTTCAAGCAGGCCTGATGGGGAGTCAACTGGCCCCAAACTGCCTGGAACAGCTCCATGGTGGCTGCTCCTAATTGCCCTGCAGCCCTCCGCCCCTAATTAATAGGCCCCTTAGCTCATTGGGGCTGCCCTTCTCCCCTCTGTAGCAGCCTCTTGCCTGGCCATTTCACGGAGCTCAACTAGCTTTACTGGGAGATGGCCAGATATCGCTCAGCTTCTCGGCAAGGAATCCAACAAGGAGAAACCGAGTCTCCCCCGGAACCCAGAGCCTGAGCCCAGCTCCTCCTGCAGGCCTGCCGTCAAGAGCTGCTGCCGCCCTCCGTGGGGCTGAACCCCAGCACCCCGAGTCCTGGCTGCTCCTTGTGGCACAAAGACGACTTGACTCCACGTGCTGAGCTGGAGACACGGAGGGTGCTGCCTCTCCTCCCAGACTGCAGCTCCAGGTCATCTCCACCTGGCGGAAAGCCAGAGCCAGGCAGTGCAAGGCCACTGGGGCTCTCTCTGGTGCCATGGAGCCAGGAGGGTCCATGTTCCCTCACCTCCTGCCAGCGTCCCCATGTTGAAGCTGCTCCTCAGCTCCCAGCCTCTTTTGCTCCCACAGAGGTAGCCAGTGAGACCCACCTGAGCGGGGGCACCTGGCTCCATGGGACAGGGACTGCAGGGGAGACCTCCCAGCATTTAGTCCCTAGGAGCCCTTTCCCTGCACTCTGAGCTATGGCCTCCCTGCACCCTGCATTACCCCTACCTGCACACCTCCCAGAACCCCTTCAGCCTACACACAACCCTGAGCTACCCACTCCCTGCACCGAAACTACCCCCTAGATCCCAGCCTCCCCCTCTGCCTTCACACAGCCCCAAGCCACCCCCTCCATGCACCCAAAACTCCTTTCAAGCTTTTCGAGCTAAGCCCCTCACCTTGGAATTATAGTTTTTGGTTTCTCCCCAAACCAGGACAAGCTGTGTGGCCGGCTGAGGTGAGTCAGGGGGTGGAGGTGTCACAGCATCCCAGTACCTCGCTGTGTAGAGCTGGATCCTGCCCACAGCCCAGATTGAAGTCAAACTACTCCTATGCCCAAAGCCCCTACCCAATGCGCCCAGCAACCTTGAACAGCGTGTTGAGCGGGGCTTAGATGGAAGAAGGTTGAGACCCCCCTGCCCTAGGGAGTAACTCCAGTTTACGAAGAGCATTTACCCTTGTGTGTGTTCTTCACTAGCTCCGTGTGATCTTCACTAGGTAGCTGTGATCTTCACTGGCTTTCTGTGTTCACCACTAGCTAGGTATGATCTTCCCTAGCTTTGTATGATCTTCACTAGCTTGTTCTTCACTAGCTCTAAAGAAATGTCACAGAAAACTGGGCATATATAATACTGAGAAACTGAAGACCAATGGCGGGACCAGGCGATCATCTAATAGTATTTTCATAGTTGTTACAGACAGGAGCATGATCAATTGTTCTCCATGCCCACTAAAAGCAGCACAAGGAGCAATAGGATTAATTGGCCACAAGGGAACTTTAAGTTACATAGAAGAATCAACATTCTAACTCTTAAGACAGAGACACACCAACACTAGGCTACGAAGGGATGTCATGAAATCCCTGTCGCTGGAGGTTTTTAAGAACAGGTGATGCAAACACAGGTGAGGGTTGGTCAAGGCGGACTTGGTTCTGCCTCGGTGTAGAGAGATGGACAATACGACTTCATGAGTTCCCCTACAGCCTTATACTCACAGAATCCTCTAATTCTATAGGTGGTGGGGAGCAGGTATGTATGTTTCTACCACAGTCTGTTATGTTTCTTCCACAGTCTGTCTGAGACCTGCATAACTCTGGGGCAATTCCCTGCTCTGCAGAGGGCCTACACACTGTTGTCTCTCACTAAGTATCCCTAAATCTCTTGTCAGCCGGAGTGTGTTTGATATGTGCCCAGGGGGAAATTTCACCCAGAATGCCCTTTGGAACCAAGAATGGGGGAGAAAATTGAACTAGAGAGTGTTTCTTCCACAGTCTGTCTGAGACCTGCATAACTCTGGGGCAATTCCCTGCTCTGCAGAGGGCCTACACACTGTTGTCTCTCACTAAGTATCCCTAAATCTCTTGTCAGCCGGAGTGTGTTTGATATGTGCCCAGGGGGAAATTTCACCCAGAATGCCCTTTGGAACCAAGAATGGGGGAGAAAATTGAACTAGAGAGCCAATAATATAAGGTCACATGCGTTTTAATGGGAACAAGTTGTGCAATTGTCATGAGCCAATGAATGAGTTGAGAACACAGAGACAATATTTTCAGGTTTACAAGAGGAAATCCAAGTGATCCCGATCTGCAACGGGATGCATTTCACACAGAGCTTTCTGCTCTCTTTCTGGGAGCTGTTGCTTTCAGACTCATGGCCTGTTTTTCTTAACATTATGTTACTTGAAGACTGTTCAGCATGAAATAGGGCAAAGCACTATATGAGTATGAGACTAAGCTCCAAGCCCAAACAATCAGGGTAACATGTGAAAGGGGATAGATACCTGATTTGAACACTTCCCACCCCGCAATTCCATCTGGAGCCATAGGACCTCTTTTTTATTATCTCACTGGTGACTCTATAATCTCGTTCATGTTCTGGTTGTGTCTTGTTCTGCGGATCTTTCTTCTGGTTTTAACATGAGCCACAACCTCCAAAGCGGGAAGAATAGCACTTCCTCTCATATCTCTTCCCATAGCTACATAACCCCCCATATGCACCTCCAGAAACACTCCCAGAACTGAGGGACCCACCGAAGTTGCTTCCTCCGTAGGAGCCCCCATAGCCGTAGGGGACATTTGGTAGGGCAGTTCCCACGACGCTGTCTTGAGGGCAGGTAGCGAGAATGGGTCCTGGGAACCTCACGACCACCGGAGGTGGATAGACGACGGCACTTGAGTCTCCGCAGGATGTGACACAAGGCCCGTTCCAGGCATCAACGTATGGTTGTGGGCAGATGTCGGGACAGCATGGCGGGCGTGGGCAGCACAGATCTTTGCGGGAGGCCATCTTTGGAATTCTGGAGTACCTGAGAAGCAGCCTAGGGAACAGAATAAACATCACACGACTGTGAGCGCCACAGAAGAGTTATTGCTCTACAATCCCTAAACCTTCCAAAAGATTTCCTGGCACAGTCAAAGTAACCCACCTTTCCACGGCTTCTGATGAGCATCCCCTTGAGCAGAGCCCAGAGGAAAGGTGTGCTGAGTACCCTGTGGAGGGTTGCCATTCTTCAGTCTGTCATTTAGGCTCAGCAATTTACTAGCTACAGAAAGTCCCCATCCCCCAACAGGCCAACAAGCATTGCCGAAGGATTCAGCTCTTATCCCTAATGGAACAATTGGTGCCCACCGAACCCAAGAGACTTACCCCGTTCACGTACGAGATGAAGACAAGAGAAGCGGATAAAACAAGTGATCCTTGGAAGCACTTTTATCCACGTTCTTAGCCAATCGGAAGCAAAGGAAACAGCCCTTACGCACTGAGAGCTGATTATTCACCAAAGAAAATAACTTTTCTCTGGCTAATTCCTCTAATTGTTGTTCCGGCTTGGGTACTGGTTAATCTGTTGCTCAAGTCTCAGTCTCAAGCAGCATGACAGGCTCATTACGCCCTGGTGTTCTTGTCATCTCAAAACGTTTGGGCAACACCCCGGCCTGATGTCATCCTACTAACTTCCTTAGTGTCAACATGGGGCTAAATCTGCTTCCACTTGCGCAGTTCGGCTTGGGACTACCGCACAGTAGCCGGGTGACTCAGGGGTGTCTCAGTCTTGCGCTAGGCTGTCCTGCGCAGCCCTTTAAACCCAAGCTAGTATCTAATTGTAGGAAAGGCAGTGTTTCCCCTCAGAGCTCCTTGGAGACCAGGACGATGTGTTCCTGGTGCTTTCCGCCCTCTCCTGAAGCTCTTCCCTAAGTCTTCAAGCCAAGATGGTTTTCAAATGCAGCATTGTCTTCTCACCCACTTCAGGCCCCTTCAAACCAAGTCTTATGGGGGACAACACTCTCCCGGACACATGGCCCGTACACGCCTTATGCTCAGATGGAATCCCTGCTACCCTTGCAAAGTAGAGCCGGCACAGCAGCGAAGTCAGGTGCGCTCTTCTGTTCACCGTGACGGTCAGCCTAAGGCGATTACCATCACCCCATATCCGGCAATTGGAAGGAGTCTGGGGCTTCTGTCCACTGCCACCCCAGCTTTGAACTGTTACTGGAGTGCCAGAACACCATTCTGTGTGGCTCTGAGGCCTGACGTGGGGCAGTACCCCGGTCTGGGTGGCACTGCGGGCTGGCAGCCCCTGACCCCGACCTTTCCATCTGATGCTCCACCCTTTGCAGGGACATGGACCCAGGCTCCTCCTCTGCACTTGGCCCCTGATTTAACTAAAGCCAGGTCAAGTCGACTGCTTTATCATTAAGATGGGATCTTATCTGAAAATTATTTCAGACCATCAAGAGGATTTGAGACTCCCTTACTGCAGGAAGTCCTGAGTATCCAAGTGGTAATGCTAGGTAGATGGGAATCTTCTCCTCACCCCTCTGGTATAGTCCCTTACCGCTAATGGGATTTAAAATGAGAGATGTTCCCAACTGGCGGGCCCTGTACACACTCAACGGTGTGCCTTAGGAACGTGCATGAATAAATCTATTATTATTAATAATTATTATAAATTAAAAATAAACGTATTCATGGGGTTCCTAGGGTACACCACTGAGTGTGTACACAGGCCAGCCAGTTGCTGGCACTACCTATTTTAATATAATAAAATAATGATAAGAATTTCTTCTCTATGCTTAGGATGTCAACCTTCATCTATTTTGCATGGGACCTGATCTCATGCCCACTGAAATAAAAGGGCATCTTTTCAATAAATAAAGTGGACTTTGTATAGGGACCCACTATTGACATTATTGGAATCTTCTGATCCAGAAAGGGCCACTTAAGGCCTATGCATTTTCTCTTGAGTGGGCTTGGTCTCATGGTGATAATTTCATCCCCCGATAGTCAGTAACGCATCTGTGAAATGACGTTTTGTCACAGTAGCCTTGTATTCATGTTAGTGACTTTGCTGATATTTACATCACTTGAAAATCTGGTCCTCCTCTTCCGGGCACTTCAGCTTTAGCCATGATGTATCTTCATTTCCTGTATGTGGAAAAAAATTCTTCGTTCTTTTGGGCCATCCTTGCAGCTTGTGAGAGAAAAACAGGGCGGCTACATCTAGACTGGCATGATTTTCCGGAAATGCTTTTAACTTTTTGTGGAAAAGCGTCCGTGGCCAATCTAGATGCGCTTTTGCGCAAAAAAGCCCCGATCGCCATTTTCGCGATCGGGGCTTTTTTGCGCAAAACAAATCTCAGCTGTCTACACTGGCCCTTTTGCCCGAACGGGAGCAGCATAGTATTTCCACAAAAAGCACTGATTTCTTACAGTAGGAAGTCAGTGATTTTGCGGAAATTCAAGCGGCCAGTGTAGACAGCTGGCAAGTTTTTCCAGAAAAGCGCCTGATTTTCCAGAAAAACTGGCCAGTCTAGACACAGCCAGCATGTTTTCTAAAATATCTCAAGTTGGGCAGGAAACCTTCTAAGACCTTTTGAAAATCTATGCTTTCAGTTTAGAGAAAGAAGACTTGGTCATTGTTGCTAAACCTCCCTCCTTTTCCTTGGTAACTTCATAGAATCTGTCCTTCCTACTTCTCTGGTAATAAAGAGGAGTGCCTAGTATGTAGATATCACTTTGAAAACTGATCTGCCAATAGTGGGGTAGTTTTTTGCTAACATAGTCATGTGCAGATGGTTGAGGAATGAGCTTCTAGGGGAAACCAGATGAATCCAGAAGATGATCTAAGAAGGCTTTATTTTCTTCTCTCATGCCATCTCGTTACTCCCGGGTCTTTTATTTGTCCCGAGCAATGTCCATGAAGAAAATCAGTGCCTTCTTAGGTGCTGGATGGAGATACAGGTCCAAGATTTTAGTTCAAATTCTTTCTGCAAAACTGAATGCCTTCCTTTCAACAACCCCCCAGTTTTGTGCTCCACATCAAGAGGAAGTTTGTGATAGACCTTTAAACCCAAACTAGTATCTAGTTGAAGGCGAACACGCAATCCCAGGCAGGACAGCACAAAGCAATAGTGACTCGCCCGTGAGTAACCCTCCTACTGTGAAATAATTCCAAACAGAAAGATAGAAACGAAAGTAGATTCAGTCCCATGTGCATACCAAAGAAATTAGTAGGATGATACCAGAAAAATTTCTTGCCCAAAAAGACTTAGGATTAATTAACAGCAGGGTGGAATGTCCATGTCATCATATGTGGGACTGAGCATTGAGTAATTGATTAACCATCACCAAACCCATGTCAACAACTCAAGCAATTACCAAAGCAAGAAAATACTTTGTTTGGTTAACAATTAAGTGTTGGCACATGAGGGGTGTTTCCTTCGTTTCCCATTGGCTATGAAATCATATAAAAGAGCTTGGAATGGCAGGTTGTTCCATCCACTTCTCTTGACTTCATCCCCTTCGTGAACCGGGTAAGTCTTTCAATCAATTTTCTCCTGCTGTTGGTTAAGCGATAGGGAGACTTTGTAATCCATGAATGCCTTGCCTTAGCCCTAGATTTGTACACCTGAGTGGGCTGTGATTTTTAAAACTATGTGTGGCATTGGGACCTCCAGCCCCATTAAATATGATTGGGGAGTTGGATATCATACATCCTTAGAACATTATGATAAACCCAAACAAAGTCTATTTTGATGACAGACCGCACTGCTCTGACAATAGGTGCAATAGAAAAAATTTCTCCTTTTGGGCAGGTGTGTCCATAAAGGACAATGTCAGGATTCTTATATGGTTATAGGAGGCACATGATACTGTGCACCAGTAGAGACACAATATTGGGTGAAACAGGCTGCTGATCGGAACTGATGCACGGTAATCTCCAGTGTCTTTTACTCCTTGTACGTACAACAAAAAGCAATGGGAAATGATTCTGAGAATTCTAATGAGATGATCTGGAGTATAATAGAGTATACAGAATGGAATATATATATATATACATACACACACAGAGGATGTCTGAGTGAATTTCCCACATCACTATGAATTGTGTGTAACGATGCATGCTCTGCTTCCTACTGTGTGTTGCAGATATACCTTATTCCCTAACGATGTCTTCTCGCAAAGAGCTGTGCTGCCCACGCCCACAATGCTATCCTGACGTCTGCCCACAACCATATGTTGATGCCTGGAACGGGCCCTGTGTCACATCCTGCGGAGACTCAAGTGCCGTGGTCTATCCACCACCGGTGGTCGTGAGGTTCCCAGGACCCATTCTCGCCACCTGCCCTCAAGAGAGTGTCGTGGGAACCGCCCTACCAAATGTCCCCTACGGCTCTGGGGGCGCCTATGCGGGTGGTAAATTTGGTGGCTCAGTCAGTTCTGGAGGTGTTTACGGTAGAGGATACACAGGTGGATATGGGGCTGGTTATGGGGGCTTATTTGGGGATGGGAGTAAATATGGTAGGAATTGCTATTCTTCCCGCTTTGGAGGTTGTGGCCCATGTTAAACCCTGAAGAAAGATCCACGGAACAAGAAACGACCCAGAAACGAGAGAGCTGATGGAGATTCACCACCCAAGTAATGGAAAATGAGCACCTGCAACTGCACTTAGCATCAATGGAGGCTGTTTAATAGATCAAGGCAATTAACGTCCTTACCTTGCTACATGTTTTCTTAACTCTATGGCTTAATGGTTTTCCACTTAACGTCGTGCTCACATTATGCTTTGTCCTAATGGATGCCGAAAGATCTACAACAAGTCACACAATGTGATAGAAAATGGACAAGACTAACAAATGTCCAGCTGCAAGAAACCAACGGCACATCCTGTGTGAGATGTGGCACTGGACAGAATCATTGCTCCTAGCTCCCATTGTAACTTGAAAAGAAATGGTCGTTCCTTTGCCTTACTGCATTCCAGAATGTAAACTGCACTGCTCACTCCTATTAAAAATTATGTGGCATTACATTACCCACTTTTTGTTTTTCCTTTCTCTTCCATCCTTTCTTCCCACATGCTTCTGAGAGAAATTCTCCCCATGTCGGTGCTTAGGACTGGCCCTATTTCCTCCATGAATCACGCTCAAGCCCATAAGTAAGAAGAGAATCCGGTATATTGGTCAAGAGACCTGCGTATGTCATAGAATCATAAAATCACAATATCCTAGGGATAGCACAGACCTCAGGAATCATGGAGTTCAACCCCCTGCCCAACCCAGGACCAACCCCAATTTAATCATCCCGGCCAGTGCTTTGTAAACTGGGGCTTAAAAACCTCTGGGGATGGAGATTCCACCCTCTTTAGGGAACCCATCCCAGCGCTTCCGCACCCTCCCAGGGAAAGTGTTTTTTTCTAATATCCAACCTACACCTCCCCCACTGCAATTTGAGACCATTGCTCCTCATTCTGTTCTCTCTCATCTGTGGAATATCCTCTGTACAGGTGTGAAAGCTACACTTGCCTGTGACAGAATCAGAATACATCAATGACTTTAAACCAGAATATACTTCCCTGCTCTAAATATTCTATAGAATTGTAGAATTTTGTAAATGTAAGGTTGTAGACAACCTCAACTGGTCATGTAGTCCTCTCTTTATTGAGGCAGGACCAAGTTCACCTATAACGTTCTTTATGGGTTTTTCGTCTCACTTGTTCTTAGGAACCTCAAGTGAGCAAGATTCTATAACTTCCCTTTAATGCCGAAATTCAGTGCTTAACTATCTTGAAAGCTAGAAGGTTAATGCTTAAAGATAACCAACATTTCATGGCAGATTCAGTCTGTTACTCCCTGTCATAATTTTAATCTCATGATCACCGCTTTCCAGGTTGACACCCACATCTACTTCCCCTACTTGTTCCTCCCTTTTTGTGAGCAGCAGGTCAAGCTGTGCACGGCCCCTGGTAAGTTCCTTCAGCACTTGTACCAAGAAGTTATCCCCAACATTCTCCAAGTACTTCCAGGATTGTCCGTGTACTTTCTTCAGCAGGGAGTAAGAAGGACTACCCCCTTGCTCCTTTCCAAGCCAAGGGGATACAATCCAGCCAAAGAGAAGTTTCCTCAGAGCCAGAATCGAGACGCATGCCATACCCGAGTTCCGTAACTGACCAGTGCTCATGCCCGCTAGGGCAAAGGAACCCAACCTAGGTGATCGACTTGTTGATATAACCATACTGGAGAGTTAAGGGGGAGACTGAGTGGGTGTTGCAGATGAAGAGACCGCAAAGGGGGTGTTGATCAAAACCCAGCACACTCAGAGAGTTTATGGCTAGAGCCAGAGAGATGGGTAGTGATTTGTGAGGCCTCACATCTTAGCTACTGTGGCAAGGCTCTCCCTCTCCCTGGCCAGCATTTGGGCCGGCAGCCTTCCCTTTTGCCAGGGGTTGGGCTTGCAGCTGGTTTCGGGTGTAGGGAGCTTTTCCGCTCCTTCTGGGACCCCCTCCTCTGCTGTTTCTAGCTCTGTAAGTGCTGGGACTTTGGCTCACACTCTTGCTCTCTGTCTCTCCTTCTCTCCTCTCCCTTCCCTTCCATCCTCTCCCCCACACGCCTCCTTCTAACTGGGGAAGCATTTTAAAGGCCTTTGAGACAATCTGCCTGGGGCAGCTCCATGCTGGCTGCTCCTAATTGCCCCGCAGCCCTCCGCCCCTAATTAGTGGGCCCCTTAACTCATTGGGGCTGCCCTTCCCCTTCTGTAGCAGCCTCTTGCCTGGCCATTTCACGGAGCTCAACTAGCTTTACTGGGAGACGGCCTGATAGCGCTCAGCTTCTTGGCAAGGAATCCCGCAAGCAGAATCCGAGTCTCCCCCGGAACCCAGAGAGGTGGGAGGGACCGGGTTTCACTGGATGGGAGAGAGGCAAAGTTCGGCTCTGCCCTGCCCCGGCACAAGACACAGACCCAGTCTCCGTTCTCCTTAGCGTGAGCAGAAACCCAGCCCAGCGCCTTGGTCCCCTACAGCAGCTGTTCTCAAGTGGGGGTTGGTGGCCCCCTGGAGGTCTGGGTGCCCCACATCTGAAACCCAGAGCCTGAGCCCAGCTCCTCCTG